TGGGGTGTGGTTGTGGTGGTGGTGTGTTGTGGTCGTTTGGTGGTGCCGGAAGGGCTTGGGGATATGGTGGTGGATGTGGATGGGGTTGTGGGGTGTGGATGTGGGGTGCAGGACGATGGGCTTCGTGCTGGGGAAGAGGAGGCGGTCGCTGCGAGAGGCGGCTTTGAAGATGTGTTCAGGCGCGTCGCGCAGCGCGAGGCTGGTCGCCATGAGGGTGTGCCCGTGGCCGTCGTGGCCGATGAGCGGGGTGGTATAGACGGTGTCTGGCGGGGGCGGGGCGTAGTCTGATGGGTAGAAGTGCGCACGGCAGAGGTGTTCGAGCCTAGGGGGTTGTTAGTTTGGCTTCTTGTGCTTCGTAGGAGAGGGTACGTGCGCGAGGATGAAGTTGATTGCGGCTTGGGTTTGCGCGGGAGTCAGGTCGGGGAGGGAGTTATCAGTTGGGCAGTTCTCCCTGGAGAGAGGGCTGGTGAGTGTGGGTTGAGGGAGGCGGCGGACTGCTGATGTAGAATGTCGGTGCGTTCATAATCTCGTCGAAGCCGAGGGTGATGGTGACCTCATCTGCACCTTGCTGTTGCAAAGCCTTCCCGGCATCACTGAGTTCACATGGTTGGGGCATTTCCTGCAAGAGATGTACCCCTTGGTCCAGAGTCAAGGGTGCCGCCTTCTTGCTCATGGCGTGTAAGATCTGCGCCCTCATGGCCTTGTTTTCGTCCAAGAGAGACTTGGTCTCTTGCTCAGCGGCCTCGATCATCTCACGGATGCGGGCAACATCCATCTCGAGCTGCTTGACATAATTCGCCTTCCGTTGTCGGTGCTGGACCTGAGCCTTCCGGACTTGGGCTCTGCGGGCCTGAGTCTTGTCCAGTGATGCTTCGGTGCTTGCATCATCTTGGGCACCTGTCCCTTGATGTTTCGCTTTAGACTTTGTGCGCATTAGGAAGGAGGTGTGACGGGTGGTGAAACGAAACGGACGATGGGGAAACAAAACGACGAAACGAAACAAGAAACACCCGGAACATGTTCTCCATCTTAAGCACACATGAACCAACATCTCCCGTTGTCGGCCATCAAGGTACCGCAAGATCTCCGGCCCGCCAAGATATCGTCAACTTCCCCTCAATTGTGAGCACCCTGAAGGCTGGCATCAGGTGCCGTTGCCCAATCCAGGATGCCTACACAGTAGGTACCAACCACAAATGCCCCGATGGCGTCTTTTTGTCCGCTTGACAAATCTTGGTCACCGCAACGGGCCGTCGCCAAGCCACTCATCACTGAGCCCACCCACCAAAAGGAGATTGTATCACTTGACTTGGTCCGCGACGAACGCGGCCGAAAAGATTCAAAATAATATTGGGAATTGGGAATTGGAAAAAGAAAGAAAGACAGACTCACCCGATGCACCACTACTTGGGGTACCGCCTGCAGGCTTGCTTTCCACAAACCGAATCTTTTTCCCGCCCAGCGTCTCTTTAGATTTCCTCCAAAATGTTGAGAACGAGGGCCGATTCGACTCGCTGTCATCTGCCATCACTGTATTCTCAGCCATAAGTTCCCCGCCGAATACCTGGACGCCATGCATCAGCATCACATCACACACCACAAATCACCCTAGCTATTCAAGGGCCCATACCTGGTCAAAATAATGAGAAGTTGACTAAAAACTCAAATAAAGATGCGGATACCCAGTTTCGGATTCCGTAATGATGAAAAATGACAACGTTGGTGTCCCTGACCAAGACTAATAAATGTGCAGTTGACAAGAAAATGCCCAGAAGGAGTCGGCCATGTGTCAGCACCCTTCGTCACCACCTGTCTTGCCTATCAACAAAGATTAGCCCCTGTCCCGTGGCCTGTGCCGCGCCTCCAAAACTCAAATAAACCCTGTTGTTAGTGGGCCGCCTTCCAAATACTGGACACTCAGATAGGTACCTATTCTCAAATGGTCTCATTCTTCTCATCTCATCTAGTTACTTGTGATTCCATCTCAACATTTTGACTATCTATACTCACCCAAAACGCCCAGAATATGCTTGCTATTTTGGCAAACCCCAAGACCAACACCAATGCCGCAAAATGCCCCCCTCCCGAGTATAGTATCCCTCAACTTGAAAAGCACCTCTCCGGACGGCCGTGAATCCCTTTCTCTGGCCCCTCGCCAGGGTATATATATCGCGCCTCGATGATCAAGCATACCCCTCCCCACCCTCATCATCCGTAGCAGTATCCTCCTGAAAACCACCACCCCCTCCTTCAAACTCACTATCCTCCCCCTCCTCATCACTGTCCTCCTCCCCCCCATCCTCATCTTCCTCTCCCTCTCCCTCCCGATCCAACAGCGCCATAGGCCGCCACGCGACATAGCTGCTCTCGAGGTCGAGCCAGCGCCTGGCGACGGGCAGCTGGAAGGGATCGAAGGGGAAGCAGGCCTCGAGATGGGTCCATTTTTCGTCATCAAACTCGAACCCGGAGTCGCGCAGGGCGCCGCCGGTCGCGTAGCTGCCGGTGAAGAACTGCGAGAGGTGGACGGACTTGTTCTTTTCGATTTGGGGGTAGCTAAGGGGTGCGGCTGTGAGTGATGGACGGAGGCGGAAGGGGTGACGGGTGGCCTTACATGTACATCAGCCGGAGGTGGTGGGAGAGGCGGGCAAACTCGTCGACGATTATCGGGGAGCAGCATTTGAGAGGCTGTTGTTGGTGGGTTAGTGGGTGGTGACCGGGTGCAGCCAGGGGGACGGCTTACGTTGAGCTTGCTGCCGATGTTGGCTTGGAGGCGAGATTTGAGCCCCGTCATCCAAGGCAGCTCCTGTCCAACAAAAGAAGCCGGGTCGTCCCAGTCGAGGCTGGAGGGGAGCAGGTCCTGGTCGATCAGGTCGCGCCACCGGAAGCAGAAGATCTAGATTGAAAATTAGAACACGGCGTTGTACAAAAACGCCCCCTTTTGCCGCAACTTACGTAAAGCAACCCCTGGAAATATGCACTGAGGACGGTTAGAATCGCAAACATTGGTACCTTGTCTCGGATGGGATGACTTACTAATACTGGCTATATCGCCTTACATCTGGCCCGCGGCAGCCAGTGTGGACGGCACGGTAGTGATCCATATAATCGAGGAACGTCTTGGTAATCAACTGCACCTGTTCGCTCTGAACCATGGCCCCGCGCGCGGTGAAGCTTGCCAAGTAAGCAACCGCAGCCTGCTTAACGACGGGTGGCCGGTTCGACTCGAATCTGAAGACGGTCAGCGCCGTGTGATTTAGCGAGTTGGGCTAAGGAAGCTTACGCAAGGTTGAACAGCGTCCCGATGAACATCTCCATGAGCTGCTGGGACTTCATGGCGAATTTGAAGAGTAGGTATTGAGTATGCCTTGATTTGAGATGCTGCCCGGTTTGTCAGCCTCCGCATGCGTTCCAACCTCGAGAGTACATACCGGCAGAATGACATTCGAGAAGTCGCTCAACAAGTCTTGGAACGCCTCGGTTGCCTCGGGGCTCTCTGGGTCCTCAAATATCGGGTCGTAAATCGAAAACAGCAGATCGAGAATGGCGTCCATCGTCTCCAGCTTATTCTTGACCGTGAGCACGCGTTTAGCCTGTTCGTTGAGATCGTCGTCGTCGCTGAGGACGGAATCGGCATCGCTATCGTCATCGTCTTCCTCGTTCTTCGCATCAGACGCTCCCAGTTGGCGCAGCACCGCCCTCGTCGTCTCGTCGTCGTCATTCTCCAGATCCAGCGTCATTTCCACATCCAGCTTGACCAGTCTCGAGAGAATCAGCTCCATGATATCCCGTTCCAGCCCTGGCCTCGCAGCCTTAAGACGCAGCAGGTGGTCGATGAACTCCATATGGGTCGCCTTTGTTGCCTCGGTGAACGGAAACTTGGACGCGACCAAGCTAAGAATTATGTGTTGCCCCGCCGGGAACAGCTCGAGGAGGTACTTCAGCCCGACATGTAGCCACTTTTTCTTGGTTTCCGGGTCGACTGGCTCGAAGCCCGGCGCGCTTGACGTATGCCGTGTCTCGGTAAACTTGTCGACGATCATGGTGAGCGCCTGTGTAAAGAGGGATCCTTGCACCGACGAAAGCGCGGCCAACAGCTGAATGTATGCCCGCGCGAAGTTCTCGTCCCGTTCCAGCCAGTTGCACCGCAGCACACTGCGCAGCAGACCCGAGCACGACCGGCCGAGCAGCGGCACGTATCCCGTCAGCGCCACGACGTAGACAATCAAGTCTTGGGGTTTTGTCGTCTCGTCCTCGTCCTCGTCGTCGTTAGGTGTGACATTCTTTGGTAGGAAAATATCCTTTAGGTTGTCGTAGTCCTCGTCGTCTCCGCGGCTGTGCCCCTCCAGCGCTTGGCGCACTTCGCGTTTCGCTTCCTCCAGGCTCTTGCTGTTAATCTCTTTGATCATATTCAAATCTTCGTTGAAGACGACTGTTTTTTTCTGTCGCTTGGTCGGGGGTTCATCCTCGTCTGCCCCATCCGAGTCCTCGGATCGTGATCGCGTGCCCAGCACCGAGGTGGATTTTCGTAGGATCGGTTTTATGGGGGATGATGTGGCGACCGACGCAGAACTGCGCGCAATCGAGGATAGAGTCGTCATTGTGAGGTTTATTTCCTGTAGATGGGTCGTTCATCGAGTGAAGAAGGCGTCGACGCAATCTTCTCGACGACACAACCGACGTCGAGGGGTGTGAGTTGAGGGCCCAAGTGGTGGACTCGGGGAGAAATCGACAGAGGTTAAGGGGTCGTCGATTGGTGGTACGGCAAATCTGTGGGCAACGACTGGTCGGACATAATTGTTTTCTCTTGCAGCCCGATGATAGAGAGGAAATCCAGTTGTTGGTCAACCCGCGGGCTGGTGTCTTCTAAGCTTTCTGCCGTCGTATCCACCCTCTCGAACGAAAATGTCGACTTTGCGGATTAGTTATTTTCGAAGCGACGATTTTCCCCGCGAAAGGCACGTGCGCAGTGGGGACGATGCCTGCTTCAGCAGGCGGTCAAGCGTCACAGCCCGAAACGATCCACAGTAATCAATCCGTACCTACACAATACAGATTACATTTCCCGCCGCCCAGAACGCTTCGCACTTGAATCAAATACCTGAGCATAACACGCGCCAATCGCGCAGCCAGGCCACTTTTCGGCCGACGGGCAGACTCGATACAATCCTTCGGTGTTCAATAAATTTGGGCATAGTTTTATGTTTTCAATTCATCGGATCGGCTTTTTCTTAAATCCCAACATGAATACATCCTAGCCCTGAGTCACTCCCATCATCAATAGATAGGCTTCGCATCATTGGGCTTCTTCTTCAGCAGGTCCTTGACACTAACCACACTGATAGACAGTGGCCTATGCACCGTCCTCGAATACCTGGCCGCACCCAAGATCATGAGATGGTCCGGGTACTTGGCCGGCACGAGCAGGGCCCTGCTGTAAGCGTTCATTTGCGGGGTCTCGTGCGCCTCCCACCGGTCGGGCTGGCCGCCAAAGCTGTTGGTGAAGACATCCGAGTGGTCGTTGTCGCTCACGATGATGGTCCCGTTGGGCCCGCCCGTGGGGCTCCACACCACGTAGGGGCTGGAACCCGGCTGGACGCCGCGGATGACGATCGGGTAGCCGCGGTCGTTGTCGAACTCGAAGGGGGACGCCGCAAGGCGGTAGTAGACCGGGTAGGCGTCGCCGTTCCAGCTCTCGCCGCCGCTCGCGTTGAGAGAGGGGGTACCGGGGTACTCGTACACGAGGATCCACTTCTTCATGGGGGGGATGTAGGCCATGACGGTCATCCCCGGGCGGTCGGTGTAGGTCTTGTAGGCGACGTCGTTGACGACGGGGCCCCAGTTCACGAGGTCAGTTGATTTTTGGTGGGCGAGCTTCTGTGCGTGGAGAGGATCCCGCTGGTCCGAGTAGAAGACGCCGACGGTGCCTTCGTAAGGGCTGACATGTTTTGTAAGTACCTAACTTAACACGCTCATGACGTCCATATTTGGACTTTGGAACACACTTACAGGATATAGGGTTCCCAGATGCATGGGTTCCCATTTTCGGTGTTGGGGCCGCTTCCCCGGGCCACATTGCTCACAAACTCCCACGTGTGTCCCTTGTCCGTGCTCGCGTACAAATCGATGTTTGTGCTGTTCCCACGGGCCCAGCTGTTTCCGCTCGCCAACACGGTGCCGGCAGGGAACTTGCCGACGGCCCATGGGAGCTCGGCCAGCGCGGGCTGTGCGTTCATGCCCAGCCCATTGACCTGGTCCGTCATGTTGGAAATCCATTTCCAAGACGCCCCGCCATCACTGGAGCTGAAGATGGGGAAGACGTTCGGCGAGCTGTCCAGCCCGGCCGTGGCGAGGACGGTACCGTCCGAGAGCTCAGTGATGCGGGGGTAGAAGATGGTATGGTTGGCATCGGGCCACCAGATGACATTTTCCCCAAATGTGCCGAACGGACGGGGCTTGGGCCCCGGCGGCTTCGGCGGTGGCTTTGGCGGTTCTTTTGGCGGTTCCTTTTGGGCATCGGCAAGACTGGCAATAAATGCCACCGCTGTCAGACCCAGCCCCAGAGTGAATTTCATCGTGCTGGTTTGTGAGGTGCGCTGGAGACGGGAGGTTCTCGTTCCCTGACGTTCACATCCATTGCAAAGGAATATTGGGGTTTAAGAACTGTTGTATAAGATCACTTGTCAAACTAGTCAATTGAAGATACGGAGTTTCGGGATACCCCCATCCTGGCTGATTTGTGTGTGTTAATACCCGGGTACCCGGGTACAGGCGCGCCAATGACCGGGTTTCTGGACCGTTGACAAGACTCGCAAACAAATCCGTACATGGACACTAGTGTAGAACCATGCAATCCTTTGATCACGCGTAACAACACACAGACTCAACATATGGTCTTCGCCCCGGGTAAAGGCGTCCGGAAATACGCCCCGTGTGTCCGTATCCTTGGAAGTTGGCTGGCGTCGGGTCGATTTCATGTGCTTGACAGCGGTCCGGCAATAGTACTGAGCCACTGCTTACCAAAGGCTATACAACTGGCGGTGAATCCCAAGCATTCTTAGCTACAATATTGCTGCTAATTAGGCCTAGTGGCATGATTCTTGGAGTTGGTTTTCCGAGCGTCTCGAAAGTCCCCTCCTCGGGGGCCTGGTCTTATCCTCGAGTCCTGTTCTCTTCTGCGGCTTAATTCCTCGGGAAGACAGCGCTACCGGGTTGATTCATTTCCGCAATCCTCGACGATAAAAAGTGTTTTTGGAGAGCGGAAACTCGGATCTTGCCCGCCCACTCAAGTACATACATGCTCCTCCTACCACGTTCCATTCACAACTTGATCACCCCTCACCATCTAGACCACTGCAGAGTAATGAGGGTTTGTTAATAGACAATGGGGTGGTGTTACACGCCGGAGGCAACTAAACCTCCGTTTTGGCTGTGGATTCGAGTTATTATGGGCAGGCATGCTACCTATCAAGTATTTGGTCAGAGGCTGCCCCTTATACCAAATATCTAAGACAGGAAAAGGCAAGAAAAGAAAAGAAAAGGCTCGGGAAAAACACGGGATACTTACAAAACTCCAACCCTTAAGTCCGTAGCTCCCGCCATCCCCCGCCTTACGGGGCTACGTACATATAGGAGGCAGTTCCGGAAGGACGAGGTCGAGGACCAAGACACGGCAAACTACCTAGGGCGTGCCACAATACAAGCAACCTTAATATGAGGGCATATTTGATTTGCTTTACCCAGACTTGCCCAGCGCTTGGCTTCTATGTTTAAATCTGAATGCCTTGGATGAAATCAAATCCTACCTCACCTTAACCCCAACCCAAACCCCACTGCACCCATCTTCCCAACTTGTAGCCGTTCAACCCATTAACCATTATCAAACGTGCCTGGATCAAAATGCCAGGGCTCATTAAAACGCACAGTTTGGCTTACCCAACGCGCAAAGCATGGATCTATCCAATCAATTAAGAATTGAAACCCTCAACCCAGATACCTACCTACATGTACCTTATTCTCTAGGCATTCACAATTCCAAGGAATCTATCGCCGGTAGGCATATACCCACGTTACCTACATGTAGCTATAAATCACAGCAACTTCAACCCCCAAAACTCCGACCCATCACGCTCAAGTTTCCTACTTCTCCCATCCATAAGCCCCCACTGGTCCGACCTCCCCCGACGCACGACTCGCACCCTCCGCCCTCACCGAGCTCAACCTACGCGGCAGCGAATCCGCCGTCGCCGCCACCGCCGCCACATCCTCATAAAACTCGAGCAGACGAATGGCCGGGTTACGAGCAAGGTTCTCGCTAGGTCCGCGTCAGCAGCATCGTCCTCTTCTGAGTCCGAGGTGGACGGCCAGGGCGGCGTGTCCGAGCCCAGTCACCCCTTCGACTTCTTCCAGAACTGTCTCGGAGGGTTTTTTGTCAAGCTCGTGTTTTGAGGCCCGGGGCGACGCTGCGACTTCACGCCTCGATGTTGCCGCAAACACGAGAGCCCCAAGCTGATTCACTGTTGGGTTAGCGTAGATGGACCTCGGAAATCGGCTGTGATGTTTGATACGACGGCTGCTCAACGGGACTGCCGGGTGCTACCTACGTAACCCGCCGAAGATTCTGGAAGATGGATACGTCGAGAAGTTCTTGAAACGTTGGTCGATGAGCTGGGGGGTTGCGAACTAAACTGGAAGAATAGGTATATTGTCAGTACAAACGAATATGGTTACAGAGATAAGTCGTTCCGAAAGTTAGAGTGGAAGATTCGAGAGCTTAGCATGAGTATGATTACGATAATTCAAGATACAAAAATACAAAAGACAATTAGGTAGTTAATGCTGTGATTTAGAAACACATGTCAATGTCCCATTTGATCTTAACCCCTTTTTTTCTCTTTGGCTTCATTCTTTGAATTTGCTTAGATACCACACACAATTCACTAACAGTAAGTACCTAATAAGGATAGGAAACATGAATCAACATCGTAACGCCATGACTGTGACAACTCTCGATGGAACCTGTGCCATTCTTTGTGTAGTAATCAACCCCAATGCTGAGCCCTCAATGATAGATTCTCCCCCAAGTCAACCCCTACTCCATCACGATAACGGTCCTGAAGCGAACGCTTCCATCCATCATGGCGTCTGGTAGTAGAGCATTATCATTAGCCCCTGAACCCACCCACAAGCTGGACACCAACTTACTGAAGGCTTCGTTTGCTTTCGCGAGCGGGAAGGTCTGCACTATGCAATCCACCTTCTGCAGGTCCATGAACTGGATGGCATCCTCCGAATCAGTGGCGTGACCACAAGGCCAGGATTGCACAGAAAGAGCGTATTTCAACTATCTTCACGTTAGCGGTTTCACCCAGAAGCCCCCCTCCCTCTCCCAGCAACTTACCATAACCCCCGTGTTGACGGGCACATCCCCAGGAACCGAGAGAATCAACAACTTCCCCATAGGCCCCAAACCCTTCAAAAGCGTCCCCATAACCTCCGCCGTAGGCGCGGTCGTCATCGCCAGCCGGGCACCGCCCAGCCTCCGCAGCGCCTCCCCAACATCCCCCTTACTAGAATCAATATACTCATGCGCGCCAAGCTGGCGCGCAAAAGCCTCCTTGTCGGCGCCGCGGCTGATGGCCACCACGCGGTAGCCCATGCGCTGGGCGGCTTGGATGGCCAGGTGGCCGAGCCCGCCGAGCCCCTGCACGGCGACCGTCTCGCCGGGCTGCACGTCCATGTGCCGCAGCGAGTTGAAGACGGTCATGCCGGCGCAGAGGATCGGCGCGTACTTGGCGGCGGAGACGTGTTCGGGGACGCGTACGGTGGCTTCAGAGCGGAGGAGGACGTACTCGGCGTCTGGGGCGGGTGGTTAATTGGTTGTCTACCTAGGGAGGGGGGGTCGACGGGAAAGGTACGGTCAGGGAGGACGTACATCCGCCGGCCTTGGTCTCGCCGTTGACGACTTGGTTGTCGCACATCTGGTACAGGCCCTTCTTGCACGCAAAGCAGGTCCCTGGGCATGATTAGCAAGAGAACGCCCAGGAGCTTGTCAAGGTTTGAAGGTACGGCCTTACCGTCGTGCCCACCGTGCCATCCCGCTCCCACGCGCTCGCCAACCTTCCAGGCCGTCACACCGTCACCAACAGCAGCAACGCGGCCAATTATCTCATGGCCCGGGACGATGGGGCTGTTTTGGCGGAAAAGCAACCAACCAATCAGTACGTCGTTACCTTCACAAGCTGAGAGGAAAAAGAAGCTGGGCTTACAATCCGCCGCCCATGATGTTCTGCTGGGCAAACATATCAGAGAAGCAGACACCGCAGGCCTCTACCTTGACGAGCACCTCGCCGGGGCCGGGCAGTCGCAACTCAGCATCCTCGATTGTGAGGGCGGCGCCCTGCGAGTGGAAGGCGGCTTGCTTGAAGGTTTTGGGGAGCGTCATGGCGGAGTTGGGGGTTAGGGGGGGATTAAGTGAGGTGAAACTTTGTGTATGGGTGTGTGGGACGATGAGAACAAGAAGAGCAGACTCCTGGTTAATATAGGAGTACGAAGGGGGTATAACTTGAAAGACCAAGGTGTGTTCCAGGGTTTGGTTGGAGACGGTCAGACGGAGAGCCAGAACTTGAACAATGCCAACTAATTAAAGTAATTTTATTTTCAGCTTTCGGTCAAGTGATAGCTATGGTCTTTCCACCGAAGCCCCCGCGTTTGGCCTTCCTTGAAGGGCTAAGGTGTGATTATCACAGAGTTCCCTTCCTTACCCAAGATCAAAGGGGAATCCGGAGTACGAAATGTGGGTCCTGTCGCACTGAGGACGGACTTGGCAGCCAAGCTTTCCGGCGATACTTGGGAACTGCGCCCTCTCAGCACGGCGGACACGTGACGAAACTTGTGCACCATGCCACGGTCAAGACCACAGTGTTGGTCTGAGTCTCCCCTTTCACCTACATTCTGATTCGCCTGGCACCCCATGGGAAGAGAGACGTGTACGATCGAATGTTGGCGTAATGCACTGTTCCATACTCCCTAGAACCTCCAAGTTAGCGTGATAGCTCGGCATACGTGCAGTCGCGTATCAGACATGGCAACCCACAATGAACCCTGGACGCGTTTGACTCTGAGCGTCACGAGCTCCACGGTCCTCGGATCTGGCTTCGGTTCTACGTGCTTGTTAACATCGAGAATTATCCACGCTTTGCCTTCGTTCCTAGTGTTGACGGGGGTGTGCGCGTAGTCGCGCTCGCGATCAAAGTCGCGATGAAAGTTGCGGTTCAAGAAGTCGTTGGCGAGAATCACGCATCGATCCGGCAGCGCGCCCGGAACATCTTCCACGCGCACCCGGAAACAAATACGCATGGGGGTCAATACATCTGCTGCCTTTAATCCCTTGAGTGGGCCTGTGCGGATTGTTTGAGTGCTTGGTGCCATTTTGACGCAAGTGATGAGGAAGCGAGGCAGGCGACAGCAAGCAAGGCACCAAACTTATTGCCATGCTTGTCACATGACCCGAGTTTTTGATTTTCCGCCTCAGTTCAGGCCCCTTCACGCATTCTGCGCCAAGCCAAATCCCCATCTCCTTATCCTTGTTACATTTATGATCATTGATCAACATCAAGCCATCAACTGCAGAACCGTGCGGTGGACTTCAGCATCATCCCGGTGCAGGTGCCGACGAAATCTTCGACTCGAGGAACGAAAAGAAAACAATTTGGGAACCCAAAGTCTACGTACTTTTTATTTGTTGCAACTTGTATTATTCGATTCCTTTTAACTACTCGCTTTTCTTAACTTTCTTTTCTATTTTTACTCCCCTTTCGAGTTCGGTTTCTCTTAGCTAGGGGCTTCTGAGACGATGCCGGAAAGTATAATGTAGGTAACTAATGTCTGTCTGTACTGGGGCATCACCAGCATCGACAATGTAGATAGAAGATGGATCTAGATGATGTAAAAGACCAACTAGGGAGCGATTCTTACTAGCTCAGTTAAGCAAATTTAGATCGAGAAGCAAGCAAGTAGTGTTGTACGTAATCAGAAGACAAAAGATACGTTAATTAGGCTAACATTCCAATAAAGATCTACACCGTACCGAAAAGAAAATGGCAGAAGCTCACCGGCCAGCCCCCCATCCGGGGAGGTGACAAGCTACGAAACCCCGTTGGGGATTTCTCCGGGACAGATCTAGTTAAGAGAGCAATGCCATCGGGCGGTAGTCCTCGTTGGAAAATGGCGGGAAAGAAGTTGTATATATAGTGCGAATGGACAGTGATGGCATACGCCAATGATACCTAGGTAGCATGACAGGACTACAGCATGAGGCGCTCAACTGTCTCTTATGGACGCTATTAGTTAATACATACCCACCCTCTCTATCTTATTTGCTCAGCCCTAACTAACCATGGCAATCTCGGGCACTTGGCGAAGCTCTAAGCATAGGTAGGTATTCTACAATTGAAACCATTCCCATCTTCACCTTCATCTCCATTCCCTCCCCATGCCACAGCAATTAGGCCCTCTTCAAACCCTCGCGGCTCCCACCCGAGCTCTCCCCCACCACCACCCCATCCTCATCACTCTTCCGCACAATCCACCTCGACCGCGTCAAGAAAAGCGAGCACAGCGTATACACCGCACCAGCCGCCACAACCAACAACCAACACTGCGAGATGGCATGCACGATAATATCAATACACTGCGCCCTCACCTCAGGCCCAACCCGCTGCAGCACATCACTCCTCGCCCCCGCCACCGCCGTCTGAATCTCCTTCTCGCCAAACCCCAACGGCCCCAACACGGCTCTCATCCCCCCGACCGCCTGCGTCTGAAACACCGCGCTCGCAATTGCCAACCCAATCAGCTGGCTCGCCGCCTGACTAACATTCAGAAACTGAATCAACTCGGCCGCGCGCGCGGGCCGCACGAGCTGGTTGCCCACCGCATACCCCGCCTGCGAGGTGGCCATGCCGAGCCCCAGCAGGGCGCCAAAGCCGTGGATGTGGGCGAGGGGGGTGTGGGCGCGCACGGCGTACATGCAGGCGGCGCCGGCGGTGAGGCAGAGGCCCGAGAGGAGGAACCACGCCGCGTGGTAGCCGGTGCGGCCCATGACGGCGCCGCAGGCGAGGATGGTGGCCACGTACAGGCAGATGAAGGGGAGGAGGGCGCACGGCTGCCTGCATGCCCGAGTCGCCGTACACGAAGAGGAAGAAGAGCGGGATGTAGTAGATGGAGACGAAGAGCGCCGCGCCGCCGCACGACATGATGATGTAGAGGAGGATGAGCTGGGGGTCGCGGAGGAACTCGCCCGGGAAGAGGCGGTCGAGCGGGGTGGTGAGGATGGAGTATTTTTGTGTGATGCCGAAGGCGAGGGTGCAGGTGACCCAGACGACGATCAGCGCGATGGTGCGTCCGTCGCTGTACGCCCAGAGCACGCCGCCGAAGGAGAAGGCGACGGTGAAGGCTGAGCAGAGCCCCGCGGTGAGGAGCGTGCCGAGCCAGTCCATGCTTTTCAGGTTGCTGGTGAAGGAGGGGCTGGGCCGCCGCGGGAGGGAGGGTATGAGGAAGATGTAGACCGGGGCGGCGGCCGCGAAGATGCAGAGATTGAGGTAGAAGGCCTGGGGGATGGTCAGTTCGTTTAGGTACCCAACAGGTAATCGCCCTCCAGAAAAAGGGGGTGATATCGGAACTCAACTCACCCAACGCCAAGTCGCAGCACTGTCCGCAAGGGCGCCGCCCACAACAGGGCCCAAGACACACCCGCTGCCATACACAAAGCCGGTCAACCCAACATAAAACGGCTGTTCCTTGGGCGAGGTGAGAAGGGTCGAGAGATTCAGCGTCCTAGACACCACCTCCACCGTCAGAAAACCAAACCAAACCCAACCCAATTTAACCCCAGATCAAGACAGAGACAAAGAACAAACCGCAACTCACCCCAAATACATCCCCGCCCCGGCCACCCCCGCCCAAACCCTCCTCAGTTCCATGCCGGCGATCCACCCCTGTCGCAAACACCACGGCTATGGCGAGGGGAATTTGAACGGAAAAAGCCAGAAAAAGCCAGGGTACACAAAATTATTCAAAAGCCCTTCCCCCAGCGGCAGGCTCGGCCACCGTCGAGCCCAGCGTGAACCCCACGCCCCAGCCACCCGAGCTGGGTCACGTTGTCGAAGGTTTCCGAGACCGCGCCCCTGGAGGTCGGCTACGATGGTCGTGTCGAGCCCGTAGAGCAGGTTGGCGGAGAAGATGGCGACGCAGACGAGGAACCAGCGTGCGCCGTGTAGCGTGCGCGGGGTGGTGCCGGTTATGATTGTGACGGTGGCGGGGGTGGTGGTGGTGGAGGGGGGCGGGGGTGCGTCGGTGTCTGAGCTGGTGTCGTGGTTGATAATGGGTTCGGGTGGGAGGGCGTGAGGCGGGTTGTTTGTGTCCTTTTCGTCCATCGTGGGTTGGTTCTTCTCCGGGTCGTGGTCTTGCTTTTCTGGTGGATAGGTTGGGTGTTTCCATGATGGTTTGGGTTTGGGAGGACGTGGTCGAAGGTTGGGGTGTGGCTGCTGTCATGGTTGTTGATGGTTGCAGCTCTTGTGGTAGGGAAGCTTGAAGACCGTTGTGAGTGATGGTAGTTGAGGGACACGGCAAACGGATATAGGTAAGTCATGAAGATGCTTATATTTCCGGGGGGAAGTTAAGACTTATTAAATGGGTGAACCTTGACGGACACTCTGTCTGGTAAGTCGGACACCCTGTTATCTCGCGAACTCGACAGAGGTTCATAGCACGGATATTACCAACATTCTCACAACACCTTATGATGATGATGAATTCTACTGAACTAGCCGTGCAGCACGGAAAATACTAGTATTCTAACTGCTACATGAGCTTAGCAAGACAGAGAAAAAAAACACGTTAACAGCCTTCAAAGATTTCCCGCTCAACTCCAGGTTAGTTTACTCGACGTTGGCGGCACTTACACGCACAGTTATTGTGGAGCAGGCCCAATAAACTCCGGCTACTCCGCCGAGGAGAACCAAACAAACTTCTGTTTTGGGCTGCTGGAACTCAAAAATGCAGGGGTGCAGAAATAAGCACCGGAGTCTGCGGAATCCCAAAACGGTGTTCCCGGAGTTCCCAAATTGACTGGAACTACACATGGATCGAAGGAAGACCACACCGGTGATACGGCATGTGCAACTGCCATCGAGGCACAATTACGGCGCAACTTGCGAGTACGCACAGAATATTGCTGACCAAGCACTCTCATTTCTTTTTCCCATCCAAAAGTCAGAAAACTAAAATCTCTTCTTCGCGACGTTGAGGGGGAGGGAGGGTGGAACGGCCGCCTCCCGCCACACTCCCACGCAGCTCGTTGGGGATGATTGTTGACAGGAATGGCAAAAGAAACAGGTTCTCGGCCGGGATACACAGCAAGAGCCTCGGCCGGAAACTCTTGGTTTTTGCGCTGTGAATATTATATGTCTAGAAACAAGCCCCTCCCAGGGAGTGACTGTGTTATCGAGTCATCTAGTCACTGAGGCTCCGCCTCCGGTCCTCCATTTTGTGGTAGTAGATATACAAGATCACCGCCACCGTAGCCTGCATCGCCAAGTGCTTGCCAATCCATATTCTTAGCCCTAGTCAATTCCCGGCGGTGGCTTGATTAAGGTGTAGTGCATTGTGAGCATCGAAGAGTACCACCACGGCCCGCCGAGTAACTCATTTGCCCCATGCTATACTGCACCGTACCGAGAGAATAGCTAGTAAAACCCCGGCGGCCAGCCCTCCCAGCCCATCTGAGCGCCACCAGGGAACGGTCCTCCCATTGATGGGAAGGAATCAGCCGAGTACACCATGTCTATCGTCCCAGCCAGCATATCCCGCACCGCCGCCGCCATCTCCTCATCACTTATGTCGGGCATGAAGGCGGGTGGCTGAGAGTAGTCGGGCCCCGCCGAGGGCGTCGAATTCATCCCGTAAGCAGCCGGGACAAATACCGCGGTTTGGGCCTCGGTGCCCATCGCCGATAACTGTCCCAGTGCCGCCCCCTGGCTGGGGCCTGCTGCCTGGAACTGCGCAAACGGCTGCAGTTCACCCGGCGTACCCACACTGCGCAGCAGATCGATCTTGGAAAGCAAATCGCGGGTGGCATTCGCGGCGCTACTGCCGACGGCAAAATGCTTTCCAAATGCCTCAAACACCCCGACCGCTGTGGCCAACGCGGTCCTAACTTGGGGTGCGACTGGACTCTCGGGGAAGGCCAAGAGAAAGCCAACCATGGTGATGGCAGCGTTCCACTGCTGCTGGAAAGCTTCGAGCCATCCAGCGAGCAGGTCCTTCTCAACCACGATTTGGTGTATGACTGTTGTGATGGCAATTCCGTGGCGAGCAGCCGTTAAGGCGTGGCCTGTCGCGAGCGGCCCAGGTCCTGGTGGCGGCGTTGCAGGCGGACTACGGCTGGCAGAAGACTGGGGCGCCAAGGGCGGGGTGGGATAGGCGACGAACGGCCGGTGAAGATTAATCATGAAGGTATGGTAGAGGAGCTCGAGGAGCAACCGCTGGCGCTGCAACCACACGGGCGCAAAAATCTCGATGTCCAGGCGGCTCGAGTCGGCCGATAAGGGGACGCCTTCCTCCACACGCTGCGTCTTCAGCGCCGCCGGGAGATCCCGCAACCAACTCCTCAGCGCCCCGGGCCGGTCCAATAAGCCCTCCAAGACCTCCGCCGCCGTCTCAAGCGCGGCGGGGTCGTCATATAGAGTCCTCGGGCTCTTGATGGAACCGAGGATTTCGGCACACCGGTCAAAGAAGGCAGCATATACAGTCCGAGTAGCCAGCACCAACTTTACGGTCTGAAGCGTGTACGTCAGCCAAGTAACCGTGCTGCCGTCGACAGTTATGGAAGCTGTGTGGGAGCCGCTCCGCAGCGCCAGCTCATGGTCGTCAGCTGGCAGGCTGCAGGGTGTTGGGGCTTCGGCGGTGCTCCAGGGGCGGCCGAGTTTCATGCATGTTTTCGATTCGTTGACAAACAATGTCCACCAGAGCCGTTTCCGAAGCTCTCTCTCTGACCATGGCATGGTTTCCGGTGGCTCGAGATGAAGCCCCAGTGTGTAGCCGACGCGTACGGCCATGGCTAAAAGGTGGTGTGCCGTGTTCTGGAAACTCGCACAGCAGACGTAGACAACGCAGAAGAGGAGGGTCTGCAGTGTTGACAAAGTCGGACGCTCCACCTCGGACTCCAGGATGGCCCGACAGCGCTGGTAGTGCCACCAGCCGGCGAGCGTGCCGTCATCCGGGCCAATGTCATTGCTCTCGCCGCCTCTAGCCATCGCAGGTGCACGCTGAGGAATAAATGCCACGCCATACTGCATGCAAAGGGCCACCAAAATGTCGACCAGCGCGCTGGGCTTCCGGAAGTTTCCTGGCGGCGGGTCCAGGCAGAGTGACCTGTAATGCTCGCGAAACGTCGCCTCGTCGACGATCTGCAGCGCACAATGGTGCGATTGCCAGAACAGATTCAAGAAGTACTCCTCCTGTGCCGCGTTGAGGTGTTCACCGGGAGTCCCGCTGGAGCTCTGTCCCTGACCCTGCGCACCATCTTTGCTCCCCGTAGAGGCAGTTGCCTCTCGGTCCGGCATGGAGGTGGGGCTAGGAAGGGATTTACTGGCCGAGTTGAACCATAAAGTCCGGCCTGTGCTCGGTTGTTGTAGCGCCTGGGTCATGTACGCTTCCATACGCCCGATGAAATAAAACAGCGACGACGGCCCGTACCACTAGCAGATTCCTACTGTCAGCACGAAATTCAGACGAGGCTACCTCATGTCGGGACCGCAGACCTGTTTTGGCGACCCCTGCGTCGTACTTGCGTATACGCCCTCCCACTGCCTCTTCGGTAATTTATCACCGGTGGGTTGGCGAGCATCATGATCAAGCCTTTCTGCCCTTGAGCTGCTAGATGGGCGAGGGGCTACCGATGGCGGCGTCGTCGTTGCCGTCTCTGATGATCCGGCTGAAACGGATGCCGCGGATAAAGCCGAGTTCCCGCCACTACTGTGGCCGCTTGTACTCCCGGCGGCATTGTATCCAGCCAATTCAGTCTCAAGTTCGCGCACCCGCGAAGTCAACCGTTGTATCTCTCTGTGGGAAAGTAGGAAAGCGTGTTAGTTCAGAGCAGGGGTTTCCGTTTCTGAAAATGTGGCAGGCGAAATAGAGGTAGCCTGGAAAGGCTCTCATCTCAACCCGACCTACCTGAAGGCGTGTGGAAGCGTGCGCACCTCGCCGCTGCGCGTGTTCTTACAGGGCCCTCCTCTGAGGACACAATTCTGACATGGCCGCGAACTGTCGCACTTAGTGCGGTGCACTCGACACCAGTCGCAAGCCTGGGCCACCTGCGCCCTCTTCGTCTTTGGCCGGCTCGGGGCTTGTTGTTGTTGATGAGCTTGGGGGTCGACCGACTCGGGTTGTGGGGTTGACCCAAAGGTGAGGAACATGGCTAGCTCCGCTTTCTCCGAAACCTAGAATGATGAAAAGGCGCGAGGGAACGGAGAGCTTGGCGGAGCCTGCCAACGGTAATAAGATGGGGGGCACGGGGGGTTCTGGTCTGAGAGGCAAAGTATGGATGGACATTTGTCAACGTTGAGAAGCTTAGTAATAAAAGTTGGGTCTGATTCGGATGAAAGCCTATGCCGTCTTATTATGGGATGATTGTACAAGAAAATGCCGGGCTCTGGACAAAGAGACGGTGATGACCTTTTTCTGAGACCTGGCAGTTCTGGCAACCTGGAATGGTAAGAAGAGAAACAGCGCCTGGGCCCCGCTACGACAGAGCCGCAGCGCATCAGGGAACCTCTGGAAGGTGCGTGTGGGGGGCAGCAAACAATCACCCCCACCCAAATCCCAACCATGCTTGGACCAAGAGCCCCCCACACCTTGTGCGTGCACCAACCCATCGCAACGGCCGGGTATTAATGGTGGAGGGTGTTTTCTATGCCTCCCTCACACATCCATGTACACGTTTTATAGGGTATTGCTTTCGTCCCTGGAGTTCAAACGGCGCTGCGATTTACTTAACCAGAAGAGACCAGCGGTGTTGAGCTCCTCCGATACAGAACCTAATCATGAATGGATGGAAGTTATCACTGTCGGCACCCTTTTTTATTGTACTTGATCTATTCTTTTTCTACGATTATATCCCAATCCAAACCAGCCACCGGGATCCTCTCAATTGACGACAATGGAATGGCTACATGCCATCCTGGACACAGATCATGCAGTCTAGCGGTGGATAAGGAAAGCAGGAACACGCTGCGGCGGCTGGGCAGCTCAAGCCGGCCACGGGCACACGAAGAGAGGCGCATGCACCGGTGATATGATGGTAATTGGGCATATATAGGTACGAATGGCCGTCATCGAATTCACCATAGCAACCAACTAGAAGTAAATATCTGACACACCGGAGAGATGTGCTGCAAGCTGATGATGGGACCGGGTTCGGTGGTGGCTTCCGCCTCTTCTGAACCACTTCAAATCGCGGGCAATAGCGAGATGAGGCGTAGCTACCTACCTAGATAATGTTTGAAGGTTACGGGGGCGATAGGGAATCCGTGAGGTGTAATAAATTCCCCGGGTTAATCGAAGCCGATGCTAAACTTTTGAGCAGACGCCACGGCAAGATCAAAGACAGGGACAGGAACGAGGCCGCCGCCATGATACCACTACTATTCTTTATCGCTATGACCTACGGTCTCGTTAACTTATCGAGCGCGAAACTCCTCGGGTCTTCATTTGGGGTACCCGGTACCAACGCCACGTACGATTACGTTGTTGTTGGAGGCGGCACCGCCGGGCTCACCATCGCGGCCAGAATAGCAGAATCCGGCGTTGGGACAGTGGCCGTTGTCGAAGCTGGTACCTTCTACGAGATCAGCAACGGCAATTTGAGTCAGGTACCAGCCTTGAGCGGCATGTTCTCCAGCACAGGGGCTCACGACTGGCACCCCATGATTGACTGGGGATATATGACCACTCCACAAACAGTACGCCTATCATCCACGCAGCTCACAGCGCATGTTAACTGACCCAACCCCATAGGGCGCGTACGACCTTCCTATTCACTACACCAGGGGCAAGACCTTCGGGGGGTCATCGGCACGGAACTACATGTGCTACCAGCGCGGAACCAGAGGCTCGTACCAGAAATGGGCAGAAGCCACAGGTGATGACAGCTACACCTTTGACGGTTTGATGCCTTACTTTGAGAAGAGCATTAAATTCACCGGCCCAAACACAGAGCTCCGCTTTGCCAATGGCACCCCAGAATACGACCTATCCGTCCTGGGAAGCGGCGAGGGCCTCTTGTCGGTCACCTTCCCAAACTATGTGCAAGCCTTTGCCACCTGGGCAACCAAAGGACTGCTTGAGCTCGGTTTCAAGATCATTCCCGGATTCCAGAGCGGGGAGCTCATCGGCCAGAGCTACGGCATGTCCACCATCAACGCCACGACCATGGAGCGCGACAGCTCGGAAACCAGCTTTTTGCGTCACTCGCTGGCCTATGACAACTACTTCCTATACCCCTGGACCATGGCTAAGAAGATTATTTTCGACAGCGACAAAATGGCCAGGGGTATTGTGGTGGACACAGCTGGCGCCGAGTATACCCTGACCGCGGACAAAGAGGTGATCCTGTCCGCCGGTGTCTTCGGTTCGCCGCAGTTACTCCTAGTCTCTGGCGTGGGCAATTCCGAGACCCTCCAACCACTCAACATCTCGGTAGTCGCGGACCTACCGGGCGTCGGGCAGAACATGCAAGACCACATCCTCTTCGGACCCTCCTACCGAGTAAACGCCCCAACCATCTCCGCCCTCGGCTATCCCGAATTCGCCGCCCAAGCCGCAGAAGCCTTCAACACGCGCGCCGCGGGCATGTACACCAACCCCGTCACGGACATCCTCGCCTGGGAGAAACTCCCAGAACCTCTCCGTAGCCACTCCCTCTCCAACACCACCCTCACCACCCTCGCCACCTACCCCGCCGACTGGCCTGAACTCGAGTACCTCGTCATCAGCGCCTACCTCGGCTGGCAAAACGACAGCCGCACGAGCGACCCGCACGACAGCTTCAACTACGCCTCCCTGGCCGTCGCCCTCGTCGCGCCCCAATCCCGCGGCAACCTCACCATCACCAGCCCCGACACCGCCCACCCCCCGCTCATCAACCCCAACTTCCTCAGCGCCCCCGCCGACGTCGAGCTCGCCGTGGCGGGGTACAAGCGCGCGCGCGCGTTCTGGACCACCGACGCCATGCGACCGTTTCTCGTGGGGAGGGGAGGGGGGCAGCAGGCCGCCGCTGAGGCGTTCCCCGGGCCGGGGGTGGCGTCCGATGCGGAGATCTTGGATGTGGTTAAGCGGAGCTATAATACCGTGTATCATGCTTCGTGTACGTGTGCTATGGGGAGGGCGGACGATCCCATGGCGGTGGTGGATCCCCGCGGGAGGGTGTATGGCGTAAGGGGGTTGCGGGTCGTGGATGCGAGTATCTTTCCGAGTTTGCCGCCGGGACATCCCATGGCGACTGTGTGTAAGTTTTTCTTTTTTTTATCTTTTTTTTATCTTTCTTTTATCTTTCTCTTTTTTATATAACTATATCTTTCTTTTCTTTTTTTTTTTCTTTCTTTTTATCTTTCTCCCCAATGTGAGGCTGTTGTTGGTTTTGGACTGGTTGGCTGATCTTGTGTTGCGTTAGATGCTCTTGCTGAGAAGATTGCTGATGATGTGGTTGGCGGTTGTTGAAATATGACGGTAGCAAATGGCCAGGGAACTGGGGCCGTAGGCAGTTTGAAGGCACAGCGTGTATATTAGTATTAATAGACTTCCTTTCATACTCGAGCCGCAGCGATATTTACTTACCTTTTTCCAAAGAGGTTCGTTGAAGTATCAGCATAGCGGAGGAACCCATTTTGAATCAAGATTTACTTCCACATATGTATGATACGCTTGTATTCGCTCCCCAAGTTGACTATCCCTCTTTAGGCCGGCCACAGTAGAAGCAACTCCCCTGATTCAGAGGCCACACAGCGCCACCAGACGTACCCCCTCCCCCTTGACCAAGCTTCTCGGACAACCCCGCTGTTGCTTCCCTGTATGTACAACCGACCGAAACGAACCAGATCGGGCCCCCGATACCGTACCACACAACATCAGGTACCGCACTCCTCACATCTCTCCGTTATTTTCTTTTCTTTCCACAAAACCAACAGAATTACGTCTCAGTCACTCCGAAACACACTCACACCCCGATCTCAAACTCAGCCAAACTAGATTTATCTCACTACCTCAGGGGCCTGAGCCATCAAAGGATACTGTAACACCCAAGAGGATGAATCTACCATATGACAATACGGAAGAAATAAAGAACATATGGACCATGGACCCCCGAAACCGAGACATTCCATTTACCCCATCCATCCGTCCATCCCCAATCCCACACCAGAGAAAAGAAAGGACAAAAGAAGAACCCACACCGAATTCATAAAACCCAACCCTAATGTACTCTCTCCGACTGCCCACATAGCGTTAGCATCGGCAGCCGGCCGTCTTGTACTTTAACTAATATACAAGCGCAAAGAAGCAAAATCCGCCCAGAATACGAAAGACAATAGCAGACAGCACCTTCCCTCCCCCGGAACAAGCGCAAGCTTGGTTTTTTTGCCAGTGACCGGCAGGGGGGCGATCAATAGTCGGCCCCGGCACCGTTGTGGCCAGGCTGCGCGCCGTAGAGGTTGTAGGCCTGCGGGTCTCCGCCTTCCTGCTGGCCGGGGAGGCCGGCGCCGAAACCGCCCGCCGGGTTCGACCCGCCGGCGGCACCGTAGCCTTGGCTGCTGGGCCGGTTCGGTTGGTTTTCACCCCGGTTGGATTGGGACTGCTGCTGATGGGGTTAGCAAGACGTCTTTCGTGGGAGAGTTTGAGGGGTAGATGGTAAAGAGGCTTAGCTTACCTCCCGGTACTTGGAAAGGTAAATCTTTAGGGCCTCGGCATAGTTCTCGAAGCCCAGAGAGCTCATAGCAAACAAGATGTCCTCGCCGTTGACCGTTTTCCTCTTTTCCTGCTGGCACTTTTCCGAAGCTGTGATAGGTCAGATCGGTTCGAGTCAACCATGTATGCTGGTCCCACGGGACCATTACAAGACGAGCTTACCTTCACTGGTGATGAAGGAGATGAACTCGCTAACACACTCCTGCATGCACTCTTTTGCCTCTTTGGCGATCTTGGCGTTCTCGGGGAGCGCCGTCTTCATGATACGCGCGACTGGTGCAAAGTTGCGAATGTTAGCATCGTAGATATCAGCCTTGTCCGCCTTGGAGGACGACGAGGAAGCGCGAGGCGCCTGCGGCGACGACCCAGGTGACGAGCGGCCAGACATGGACGTGGAGCGGCGGCCGTTGGCGCGCGCGCGCGTGTTGTCTGATAGGCAGGGCAGGAAGCGGCGCCAGTCAAGGAGGGTCTCGCCGCCATGCAAGCGGAGCGCAAGCGTCGAAGGGAGAGGGCCGCCACCACGGGCACACGCGAATCATGGCGAGTGGAAGCATCAGGGAAGCATCGAAAAAAGGGAAACCTGACATACCATTGGCTATGGGTAACCACCGGTCTTGTTCTTTAACCTCGAACTCGTAGCCGAGCCCGGTCGAATGTGGGTCTTGAGGGTCGTTCATTTGTGCTTCCTCGTCACCCGACGGTGCACCTTGCTCGACATCCTTTGGATTGGATTGGGGGGAGTCGGACATATTTGGCTACCTGCAGCGGGCTGCTGGCTTCTTTGTAAATTCCTTGGGACTGCCAGCTCGCACAGGCTGGGGATAGAGTGGGGTGATGTGTCGTCGGACTCCGTTGCAGGCTTTGCAGGGCTTGCGGGCCTGGTCA